CAACTTCAAGTTGACATGCTCAGAGGACCAACAGACTGCTTGGATCTCCAAGCCAAGCACATCACTCAAGTTCATGATGCGTGACAGTATCTACCGACTACGTGCAGAAAAAGTGACTGGAGTAATGGTGATGGCGGCTCTAAAAGAGGACATGGACAGCAAGAAAGCCATGGAGCTGCTTCACCAACGATTTGGTCATATGAGCATGGAGACGGTGAAAGTGTTGGCAAACAAACTCGATGTTGGAGTTAAGATGAATGCAAAAGGTCTGACTTCCTACGAGTGCGTTGCTTGTGCTGCCAGTAAGGCAAAACGAATGTCTTATAAACGGATTCCATCGCGGAAGTCCGAACCTCTGGAGACTCTCATGATGGACATTTGCTCTGTGAACGAACAGTCTGTGGATGGAGCTACAATGTTTCTCTTTATCATAGATGAGTCTACAAGGTACAAGTGGCCGTTCCTACTCAAGAAGAAGAGTGAAGCAACGTTTCACATCAAGGTCCTACTGAACAGGCTGCGAACTCGTTTTCCTGAGAAGAAGGTGCGACGACTACACTCTGACCAAGGAGGTGAATTTGCAAGCAAGGAGCTAAGTGACTACTGCGTCGACCAAGGGATTGAGCAGCAGTTTACGAACGCCTATTCTCCTCAAGAGAACGGCATTGTGGAGCGTGCTAATGGTGTGGTTCTACCAAGAATCAGAGCGATGCTGATGGCTACACACATGCCCAACTCCTTGTGGGGAGAAGCCTTCCTGCATGTGGTGACGACGTTAAACTGGCTACCCACCAAGCCTTTAGGATTGGTGTCCCCGCACCAGAAACTGTACGAATCGGAACCCATGCTGGATGATTTGCGTACTTGGGGCTGTCAGGCACACGTGCGTATTCCCCCTGAGTCAAGACAAACGAAAGAAAAGCTGGAAGCAAGGGCAAGACTGTGTTTACTACTGGGTTATAGCGAATCGACCCTAGGCTACAAGTTCATTGACCTGGTGACAGCTCAAGTGGTGACAGCTCGTAGTGGGAATGTGAAGTTCCATGAAGAGTTCACAACCGATGGCATCTACATGAAGCATCTATTAGAGAACGCATTCTTTGATGGTGATCATACTCTACGCGAGACTGTACCTGTGGCGCGCATCAAGACCAACATGGAGACGTACCTTCCAGGTTGGAGTGACGGCATCTCTAGTGCGGAGAAGCCACTTGAGGTGGTACCACTTGCTGACGAACCTGCAGAAACTGAGTTAAGTTCAAGTGGAAGTTTGTCAATCGTTGACGCACCTGTGAGCAAGGACAGTGCGGAGACTGCTGGTGTTGCAGCACCAGCCGTGTTGCAGGATCCTACTGAAGAAACCGAGGAAGGTTTGGAAGTGAGGAAGCGCAAGAGACGCAGAACAAAGAAGAAACCTGCAATGGTGGAGAAGGAGACAAGTGGCTTCGAGATTCAATCTCCATCAAGAGAGCCCTGCCTAAAGCGACCAAGAAGGAAGCAGAAGGCGAACGTTCGATTGTCGGATTACGTGGTAGGCCTAGTGCAGGCTATGACTACGGATGTGCAGATTCCGACGACGTACAAACAAGCACGTGCAAGCAAGTACTGGCAGCAGTGGAGAGCTGCAATGTTGGTGGAACTTCAATCGTTGAAGGATCACAAGACCTGGAAACTTGTACCCCGCAAAGATGCCAAGAAAGTGAAGGTGATAACGTGCAGGTGGGTCTTTGCTGTGAAGCGAGATGAGCGTGGACAAATCAAACGATTCAAAGCGCGACTAGTGATCCATGGATTCAAACAACAACTTAGGATTAACTACTCTGAGACCTATGCACCTGTGATCCGGTTCGATACCATACGTGCGGCTATCTACTACGCTGTACAAAGAGGTTGGGAGGTGTTGCAATTTGACGTGAAGACGGCTTTTCTGTATGGAGACTTGGACGAGACTATCTTCATGGAGCAGCCTCCTGCCTTCCAGGTGGATGGACCTGGGTCCATTTGCAGATTGTTGAAGAGCCTGTACGGACTGAAGCAAGCACCGAACGTTTGGAATCGCACGCTTCATGCGAAGCTTGTTGCGATGGGCTTTACTAGAACGGACTCTGACTACGGCCTATATACATTGAGGAAGGATGGTGAAGTCAAGTTGCTACTGACTGTTTATCTACTGCTGATGGGTTCACGTAACCTGTGTGCCACAATCGCTGTCTCACTGCAAGAGACATTCGAGCTCACGACGATGGGCACAGTCAAATATCTCTTAGGCGTTGAGATCCTGATTGACCGGCCGCGCCGGCAAATAGTGTACTGCCAGAAGCAGTACGTACTGGAGGTGTTGAAGCGTTTTCATATGGAGAACTGTAATGGCTGCGCTACACCAGAAGCTACGACGCCCTCGAAGACAGACGTGCCTGCTTCGAAGGAGTATCTTCCCTACAGAGAACTGGTGGGTGCTGTCCAGTACCTCGTTAGTGCATCGAGACCTGACATAGCTCATGCTACCCGACACCTGGGCAAGTATCTTGCGAGCTATGATCATATGCATTTCGCACAAGCCAAGAGGGGCTGCGTTACCTGAAGGCTACATGTGACTACGGACTAGTGATGAATGTGAAGCTACAGACTGATGTGCAAGTTAGTGGCTACTCTGATGCTGATTATGCGAATGACCCTGTGGATCGACGGAGTGTCAGTGGCTACATCACTATGCTGGACGACAACGTCATCTCCTACGCATCTCGCAAGCAAGAGATCAACGCGCTTAGTACCTGTGAAGCTGAGTATGTAGCAATGGCAGAGGCGACCAAGGACTTGTTGTGGCTTGCTGGCCTATGCAAAGAGTTGAGCTGGAAGCATAACTACTGGGAGACAATCAAGGAGCCATTGCCTTAACTGCGAAACCTGGCAAACATTCGAAATCGAAACATATCGATAACAAGTATCACATGATCAGACGCCATGTGGAGTTGAAGCAACTTACAACCCAACACATCGGAACTGATGATATGGTGGCCGATATAATGACAAAGGCACTTGCAGTGGTGAAGTTCACACACTTTCGCAAGGCTATGAAAGTCTTACCTATTGTGTCGAGCGATGACAACGTATCCGAGGACATGGCTACAACTACGACTACTGCTACTGCGTTGACTACTGCTGTTGATGCGGAGGCTGTACCTGAGCGACATTGATGAAGACGAGGGCGATCGAGTGGGAGTACTGTTACTGAGTGGACTGCTATTGTCTTTGAGCTGCGACTACGCTACTACTAGGACTATGGCGGCAACTAGGATGCGCGTGTGTGATCGCGTCGACTTCCAAGTGCGTCGCCGAGATCAAGTGGGAGTGTGAGCTATAAAACTTACCTGCGTGTCGAGCGCCAGTGCATTGCAGTCTGCCAGTGTCCGGTGCCCCCATCTACGAGCCACCGTCCACTGCCAGTGTCTGCAAAGACACATCCCAAGGACACTCATGCGCCTGGCAGTGCAGCTTGCGGCTGCACTACAACCGGCTACACTGAGTACACATGCGTGCAATGGCGAAGGACTATACTAAGGACTGTATGCACAAGGACATCGTTGGCTATGCGCTGCCAAGATGGTGTACTCAAACGAGAGTGCATTTATCTAGAGTTTAGTATTGACTTATTTGCTATTTGTATACTAATCTACTTTTGCGGTACAGCGGTGTTCTGGCCGGAGGCTGCTCCACACTTTGCGTTTTGACGCCTGCCGCTCATCAGAGAGCAGCAGA